CTGAAATTTAACAGAAGTCCCCAAACTCAGAAAGAAATTTTATATATAGTACTAGAGGCCCGGTGCACAAAAATTTGTGCACTCAGGGGGAAGGGGAGGTCCCTCAGCCCGGCCTGTGCCCTCTCACAGTCTGGGACCCCTCGGGAGATAATGACCTGCTGGCTTAGGCCTGCTCCTGGGTGGCAGAGGGCAGGCCCAATCCCTAGATGCAGCCCCTGGTCAGGCTTAGAGCAGGGCCGATTGGGGAGTTGGGGCGCTGCCCCCTGTCATGCACAGAGCAGGGTCATTCGGGGTTGGGGCACTGTCCCCTGTCACTCACAGAGCAGGGCCCATCAGGGGAGTTGGAGCTCTGTACCCTGTCACGCACAGAGCAGGGCCGATCAGGGGGTTGGGGCGCTTTCCCCTGTCACAAACAGAGCAGGGTGGATAGGGATGTTGTGGCCCCGCCCCCCTGTCACACACAGAGCCACAGGGCGATCAGGGGGTTTGGGCGCTGCCCCCTGTCACGCTGACCCCGGTGCCAGGAGGCCTCATGGCTCTGCTGATCCCCGTGCTGGGAGGCATATTACCCTTTTACTATATAGGGTAGAGGCCTGGTGCATGCGTTGTGCCGGCTGGTTTGCCCTGAAGGGGGTCCTGGATCAGGGTGGGGGTCCCCACTGGGGTGCCTGGCCACGCTGGGTGCGGGGCTGAGGGCTGTTTTCAGGCTGGGGGAGACTGAAGCTCCCAACTGCTCCTTTTTTTTTTTCTTTTTTATTCTGGGCCAGCTTTAGCTATGAGGCTTGGCTCCAGCTCTTAGGCCTCCGCGGCTGAAAGTAGGTTTATGGCCTTTGCTTCCAATTTTGCAATCCTGCTGGCTGAAGTCCGATGGTATTTGTTACATAGTTTTTTAAACTAAAGGCTCAGAGGCCTGCAGCAGCAGGCAGGGAACATTGGAGTCCCCCGTCACTGAAGCAAGCAAGCCTCATGTTAGTTTCAAGCTGCCTGGCTGCCGGCCGCCATCTTGGCTGACAGTTAATTTGCATATTAACTGATTAGCCAATGAAAAGGGTAGCGGTCGTACGCCAATTACCATGTTTCTCTTTTATTAGTGTAGATTATAGTACTAGCTAACGTATATATAGTACTTTTTTTAGTGAGACACTGTTCGCAGCCCTTTGTATTTATTCATTTAATCACTAAAACAACTCTATGGGATAGGTGCCATGAATATGCCCAAATGAAGAAGCTGAGACTTAGAATTAAATAGCTATTTTGTTTAAACTAGGTATTATTAAAAAGAAGGAAAATGTAAAACACAATTCTCTTAGTAAATTAAAAATAATTTTTCTTCCACTAGTCTTTGAATTCCTTGAAGACATAGATTAATGAGTAGCTATTTAGTAAATAATTGGTATATTGAAATTGACTTTAAACTTTATATTTTTTTAAAGATGAAACACAAGAGGGTGCTATTTACTATTCACTACTCGTGTTTTCCTTTTAAAAAAATACTTCTTGTGAAATAGAGTGCAATAGCAACTTTATTATTATTCTTTTTGTTCTGGCTAGAACCATTAATTTATTTTCTTATATTTTTTACTTCAGTTTATAAATTATTAGTTTTGTATTGGCCTTCTCCATGTAACAGATTGGCAGTGTGTATCTATTTGGGGGCACTAGATTTCTAATTATATTAAGTAATTTTACTAAATGAAAAGAAAAGTAATGGAAATTTTTTTAAAAAATCTTTATTGTTGAAAGTATTAGATATGTCCCCTTTTTTCTCCCACTGACCCCTTTATTGCCTGCCCCTGCCCTCCCACCCCATACCTCCACCACCGTACTGTCTGTGTCCATGTGTTATTCATGTTGGAAAGTTTTTTGAAGAGGGTCTTTGATTTCTTTAAAGCCAAATTTAACATTTGAGTGCATTAAGTCTTAGGAATTATTTTCCTAAATTAAGAATATGTAATTATGACATTTTACTGAAGAGCAGTTATAGCAAGAAACCTGCTATTTAGAATTTACTCTCTGTCCCATTGGATCACCTCTGAATAGGGTGACCATACATTTCAATATGCTAGGAACAGTCCTGCTCACATCTGTTGTTGCAAGCTGTTGTTTTATTATGATAACATCGCATCTATTATTATAACATAACTAGAGGCCTGATGAATTAAATTCATGCATGGGTACAGTCCCTAGGTCTGGCTGGTGATTAAAGCACGAGCGTCTGGAGTGGAAGGGCAGGTTCCAGCTGACCTCTGGGCCCTGGGTAGCACCTGGGCACCTGCTCACACCCACCTTAGCGTGGCGCCGCCCACTTACCTGCTCCACTATCCTGCTGCGGTCCCGCTCTCGTCAGACCTATCACTACCAGCAGTGCCTCCACTGCCGCTTGCTGCCAGCACCACATTGCCAATGACCGCCATGTTCTGTGCTGCCCCTGGTAGTCAGCGCACGTCATAGTGAGCGGTTGAATTCCTGGTCTCCTGGTTGAACTCTCGATTTCCTGGTTGAACTCCTGGTCTCCCAGTTAAACTCCCGGTCGAACGAGTGCCCAATGGGACAATTTGCATATTAGGCTTTTATTATATCCTATATAATAAGAGAGAAAGATGCAAATTAGGCTGGGACATCATGACCAACTCAGAGCAAGCCCCCAGCCCCAATAGACACACACCACACACCAGGGCTGGGGGCGTGGCTCAGAACCCCCACCCCCACCCCCTCAGCCCTGGTGCCGCCCATCCCTGAGGCCACTCCCACCAGGGGTTTGAGGGCAGGCACACTGTGCTGCCTGCCCTGGGAGCAACACCCGCAGTGGACCCACAGACTTGCCCAGGGGGGCGTGCTCCGAGCTGCCGTGGCCAGACTGGCTTAGGCCTGCTCCCCACAAGCTGTCAGTAGGACACCCCCTGAGGGCTCCCAGACTGTGAGAGGGAGCAGGCTGGGCTGAGGGACACCCGCCCAGTGAACAAATTCCATGCATCGGGCCTCTAGTAGGATAATAATAATTAATGGCTGCTCTTTTTTACTCTTAATACTGCCTCCCCCATTTGGATGATAAATTGAATAGTTACTCTGTCTGTGAAAGCTGCTATTGAGAAAGGTAGTGGGAATAGAAATACAGATAGGTAAAATTTTAGAAATTGTTTGTATCAGAGGTCCCAAGGTCATCTGAATGATTTACTAGAATTCACAGGACTCAGAAGTTGCTAGGCTCATGGTGAGCGTTTATTGTGAAAGGATACAGAGTAAAATCATAAAAACATGTGAGGAAAAGTCTGATGGAACCAGGTGCAATCTTCCAGGTGTCCCTTCCTGCTGGAGTCACACAGATGTGCTTAATTCCCCACGAAGTGATAAATGATGATATGTGGAAAGTGTTCCCAACCAGGGAAGCTCATCTTAGCCTGGGTGCCCAGAATTTTTATTCGGGGTCAGTCATATAGGTATGTAGCACCTGTGTGACTGACCTTGATTATTAAGTTCCTGAACCTCAGAGAAAAAGAGATGTTTGCCATAAATCATACTGGTAGCATAAACTGCTCATACTGTACAGTGTGGCCCAAGACCACAGGCCCATTAAACACTCCCGTCAGACAGTATTTTCCAAGGGCTCGGTTCCCAGGAGCTAGCTGAAGGCTAGTCTGAAGTCAGATCATTTCAGGGAATGTGTAGGTTTCAGCAAGCCATGTTGGCTGAGTTAATCCTTTCTCATATATGGTCATAGAAGGTATTCAAGCCAGAGTTTGAACCCAGGAAGTCTGATTCCAAAGACTGTTCTTTCCATAAGTAATTTTTAGAGATCTTTTATACTGATTTGCTAATTGGGAATTACTGGTTACATTAGATGTGATAGTGACTTGGACTATGCCCATCTATCCTGATAAAATTCTTCTCTTTAAAAAATATGTTTTTTTTGCCCTAACCGGTTTGGCTCAGTGGATAGAGCATCGGCCTGCGGACATGATTTATGCTACATGATAATTATCCTTCATGTAAAAATGTTAGGTCTTGACCAACTTCTTCAACTTAATCTTTTAACAAGATATTTGAATTTTTTATTATTGATTTTAGAGAGAGGGAGAGAAGAGGTAGAGAGCAGTATGAGGGAGAAATATCAATTGGTTGCCTCACACACACACACACACTGACCGGAGATTGAATCCACAACCTGGGCATGTGCCCTGACTGGGAATCAAAACAGTGACCTTTTGGTTCATGGGACTATGCTCAACCAACTGAGCCACACAAGCCAAGGCCCGATAAAATACTAATAAGCTTTCTTTTTCCTCCCATGAGGATAGGGAGCTTGATTTGAGTATTTTCCGGTGCTTTGTAGGTAAAAGGTGCTAAGAATTTCTAGTTCTTATTTTCAGCAAAGTTGTTTTATATATTAATGTATTGAAAAGTAGTTTACATGAAGAATAGTTTATAATACTTATTTTGCACTTAATATAATGTTTTAATTAAAAAACAGATATTCTATATAATAAAGCGGTAATATGCAAATTGACTGTCACACCCTCACAAGATGGCCACCCCCATGTCATCACAAGATGGCCGGCAGGGGAGGACAGTTGAGGGCGACTGGGCTGGCAAGAGAGGTCAGTTGGGGGTGATCAGGCCGGCAGGGGAGATCAGTTGGGAGCAATCGGGCTGGCAGGGGAGTGGTTAGGGGGTGTTCAGGCTGGCAGGCAGAAGCGGTTACGGGTAATCAGGCAGGCAGGCAGGCAGGCGAGCGGTTGGTAGCCAGCAGTCCCGGATTGTGAGAGGGTTTTAAATTGGCAGTCAGACATCCCCCGAGTGTTCCCAGATTGGAAAAGGTACAGGCTGAGCTGAGGGACACACACACCCCTCCTGTGCATGAATTTCGTGCACCGGGCCTCTAGTGTAATAATAGATTTATAAAAGTTTTTGTCACAACATTGTCTGCCTTGTAGATAATAGATTTGAATGAACTTACACAGTTCTCGAAAGCTTTTAACTTTTTCTCTTTTCTTTTTCCTTAGGTATTTGTGGAAACATTAGACAAGTGTTTTGAAAATGTATGTGAACTGGATTTAATTTTCCATGTAGACAAGGTACTACTTCTATATTGTTAAATCTTCTAAGCTTTTTACCTGAGAAAAATGTTGTTATATTTGCCAAAGTAAAAATGGATTTAGTGAATAAGGCTATTTTTATTCTCTTCCTAGGATTGTGTGAATGGAGGAAATTACATTTAAACTTGATTTTTAAGGATTAGTAGATATTTTCACAGACAGAAAAGGAGAGGTGGCTCTTTTTTGGAAGTTGGATTGTTAAGTGGGAGATTAAAAACAGAGAAATCAATTTAGGAATCTGTTGCAGTAGTCCAGAAAGAAATGAACTAAGACAGTATAGTAAGGATAAAAGAGAATAGAGTAGGACCCTGATAGCCTATTGAAAGCTGGAGGTAAGAGAAGGGAAGAATGACTGAGTTTTCTAATCAGTATTATTGGGTATTGGTAATACAGAATTTAGAAGAAAGAGATTCTACTTTTACTATATATAGATTTTTTTCTGTATTAAGTTTATGTAATTTAACATTGCTTTGAATTATTAAGCCATTGAATAAAATAGTCTGAAATAAGTGGCCTAAATTTTTAGCAAAAGAGTGATTTTTAAAAATTACCTTACCTTCAGCCTGGTCGGTGTGGCTCAGTTGAGCGTTGACCTGTGAACCAAGAGGTTACAGTTCGTTTCCCAGTCAGGGCACATGCCCAGGTTGTGGGGTGTACAGGAGATAGCTGATCGGTGATTCTCATCATTGATGTTTCTATCTCACACTTCTCTCTAACAAAATAATTAGGAAGCTAATATTTATTGATCATTTTCTTTGTTTTGGATACTTCCATGGATGGCCTCATTTAATTTTTTCAGCAATCTATGAAGGAGATACTATTATTATCTCTGTTTTATAGCCCATTAAAATAAGACTTAAAGAGGTTATATATAACTACCTAAAGCTTCACAGTAGTGATGAAAGTGGGTTTTAAGCCTTCATTCCAAATTATTTTATTATACAGCTCATAAAGTAGACAAAGCAGTATTTAAACCAAAAACTACTGGAATTATGAAGTGTTTTTGTAGTGAGTTTTCTTTACAGGTGTGTATTATTTTTTTCCCTTTAGGTTCACAATATTCTTGCAGAAATGGTGATGGGGGGAATGGTATTGGAGACCAACATGAATGAGATTGTTACACAAATTGATGCACAAAATAAACTGGAGAAATCTGAGGTAAGAACGGAAAGTGTTCTAGTTAGTGAAGGTGGTAAACATGGTCATAAATTATGCATGATTTGTAGCTTTCACTGTTTGTCCTTTAGTATCACCTTTAGGTACAATTGGTATGCTTATCCAGTTTTTAAGTGGGATATACATATTGTAGTATGCCAGATGTTCTGTGGCTACTACCCCCCAAGTAGTTGTGCATCCTTCTTTTAGCCATGGTCATACCTGCCTTGGGTAATTAACACAATTCCAAATTCTTACTGCTTAAAAATGAAATTATTTACTTGAAAATGGAATATTAGCTTTCTAAAACATTAGTCAGTAATTATCAAGGACATCTTAGAACTTATATTTTAAAGATATATAAATTTAGCATTATAAAACTATTTCTGGAAGAGGAGAGAAAAGGCAATGGAATTCTCATGAGGACATAATAAGTGCTTAGCAAGCCTGAGTACATATTGAAAAGGGAAATTCAGTGCCTTAATCTTTTAATTCTGGATCCTACCCAAAGGTTACTGACCAGTTTGCTAAGTCATATATTTTATTCGTTGATACATATAGTCGTGGCTTTTATTGCATTCTGTAAAGGAAAGATTTGGTTAGTTATGCAGTGCTAACTTTGCGCTGTTAGGTTAGGTGAATGGGGACCAGCCAGCACTTTAGCATTGTATAAAACCCTACTTTAGATTTAGTGACTCCTCCCACATGTACTAGGCTGAATATTAGTGACAGGTGCTTTAGCAGAGCCACTCAAGTTCACATTATTTTGGTTATTTATTACTGTAGCAGAAGTTTAGGTAGATAACATCTTAGTATCTCATTCAGTGATATGTTTGAGGATACTCTTACCGTTGGTATTTATAGTCATAACTCAGATTAGGAAAATATATTTTATAATTATTAGGACAAGTTCAGATGTTTGATTGGTATAAAGTACTATAAAAGCAGCAAGATATTAAAACTGTTAGCATTAAGTTACAACAGGTGAGTTCTGAAGAATTATTATTTTATTGGTACTTTAAAGGATCAGTTTAATACAAATAAATACTATGCTCATTAGAACTGAATAAAACACAGGATGATGGGTAAATCTGAAATCTGAGGGTTAGAAACAGTTGAAACTTTGATAAAAACATTTTCCAGTATTTTATTTAAAATTTCTTCTTATCTAAATTTACCATCCCTATTGGTTTTCCAAAGGAGAGACTTGTAATAGTGAAGAGCTTAAAATTATGGCTCTTTTAAGTAACTATGTATTTTGTGTGTTCTATAGCCAATTTTTCAAGTATTGTTTTTGAAAGGGGAAAATATAAACTAGATTAAACTAAGACAAGGAAAACAATTCAGAATATTATTTAGTGTGGTTGGTTTGCGATATATAATGTATAGTAAAAGATTTACTATAAACTTTAAGCTGTAGTTTTTTAAAGTCTTAAAATTATAATTTGAAAATTTCTTTTTACACACAATCTGGTTTATTGGCTCATTTTACATGCACACCAAATATATATGCAAACATAAATGTTTCACTGTACAAATTTACATGGGACTCACAAATCACCCCCTTGTCTTTCATCCAGCACCCAAACCTGTGCTCTATCCCAGCTCCACTTTGGGATGAAGTTCACAGGGGGCTGGCACTAGAGGGTAGGAATCTGGAGGAGGGAGAGGTCCTGCTCCCCTTTCTTCACAGGTACCTCCGAAAGGTCCTGTCCTTTCTCAGTGGTACCATAGGGCAGAAGGCTAAATACCTCCACTCCCTCTCTGCCGCAACTCAAATCCCAGATGTCTTCTCTAATGCATCTCGCCAATTTATATCATCTGTTAAACTTTTCATTACAAAACGATGGTTACAGATTTTAAATGCCAAGAGACAGACAGTGACACAATCCGTTAATCACTATAAAATGAATGAATGTAATAATTTGTCAATTCTGTGTAATCATCTGTAAAAATATATAGACTTCTTTTCTGGAATTTTCACATTGAAAATTTCCAGGTATTTAAACTCCTTTCCATTGGTGGTGTCCTTTTCTTTTTTTTTTTTCTCCTTAGTGTGTGATGTATGTAATATTGACAAAAGTCATAAAAGACCTATAATAATTGCATAATGGATATTTGTTTTTTGGTTATTCAGTGATATTTTGTTAAGCAGTTTTTTAATTTATAAAGAGCAGTGAAATGCAGAATTTACATTTTTGATAGAAAGTTATAAGAATACTATACTATTTTAAATAGTTCTGAATATTAGTGAATCCTCCCATTTTCATCCACTAATAATCTTTTAATGTATAGTTAGTTGTTATCTGCTACCACATTAGTTTTGTTTTTTGTCTCCTTTACAAGAAAGTATATTTTAAATCTGATTGGGGATAAAACCCAACATATGTTCAGTAAGTGTTTCTCTATATGTGATGTCTGCTAATATTTAGCTATAAAAAAGTCAAAGTGAGGCTATTTAGTCCTGATCATATTTTAAGAAATTGTGTTGAAATATAATGTTGACTTTTTGTAATTTTTCAGTAATTTTCATATATTTTAAGTATCTTTGGAAGTCTACCAGCTTTATTTTAGACACACTGAAATGTCAGAAATTTTCATGTGAGTTCTATTTCCAGGTTACTTAAATTGGTTATATCTACCAAACATATGAATGCAGAATAACCCAAAATTACTAATTTAATTAAGATCTATTATGTGAACAAAAACTTACCATGAAAGGCTTAATTAAAATTCAGAGTATCATAATTGATGACAAGATCTGGTTATCTTATTTTTAAAGTTAATTTAAGTGATATGTAGAATAGCATTTATCTTTTAAAAATCAGCCTGGGTTTAATTTAAGATAAGCTCTTAAAATATAACATAGATCTATCTAGGTGCCTTTGTCAGATTTCAAAGATTTTATTATTTTGGGATAATGGTAGTATCAATCAAAAGAGAACAATCAAAAGTGAACCAATTTCATTCCCAATACCTACACAGGTAGGAGCAAAGATCACCCAGATCTTTAACCATGTGTACGCAATAAGCTTCTATAGACACAAACAGAGGACCTTTTTAATCAAATTCAGAATATCGTGGCAATTAACTGGTTAAAGAGAGAAGAAGCAAAGATAATGCTTTCAGTGTATTTTCGGCTATCCTGCTTTGATAGAAAAATGGTTTGCTTGTAACATTGGAATCTTGTGAAAGGAGGGGTTAAGCTGGGAAGTTGGTGGGATTTGGGAAAAGTCTAAAAGGCACCCAGGAAGCTGCCTAGGAATGAAAGGACTCCCTGTGGGTGGAGGATGGGTTGGGGAGACTTGTTAGTTTTTATGTATTTCATGTTATTTTTAAGATGAAAAATGACTCTGATTTTAGTTACTACTTTTTTAAAGTTAGTCCTCTTTTTTTCCCGAACATCCTGATCTTTCTAGCTCTTTCCATTCTTCTCTTTACAGACCTTTATCTTTCAATCTCCCAGACAGGACAGGTAGACAAGGTATTGCTGACTTTGAGAAAAATGTACTTTAACAAAAGGGAAAGCAAAATGATGTCAAAGGCAATTAATTATGTAGGCCAGACTCAAAAATTCTTTGTGTTAATGAACCCATATAGTCCCTGTAGCCTATTTTTCATTCTAGTTTCTCCTTGTAATTTCCTCATCTTTTATTGGACTTAGTGTATTTTTCTAGTATATCATCAATGTCATTTTTGTTCTTTTTTGTCTGCCTGCATTGTGAAAGGAAAGATTAAGTTTTTTGTTATTATTTTTAAACATTGTCATTTAACTGACAAATTACATTTTGTAGAAATGACAATTTATTTGGTATGTTAAATTTAGAATTTATTTTGAGCATCATGTGGCAGAACCAATCTTACTTTAGCACTCATAGATTTTTCCCCCTCATCTTTCTAAATTAGGATTCTAACACAAAATTGCCTTCTAGGTTTTGGAAACTGAATTTAAAACCAAAATCTGAGCCTTCAAAGTTTTGCATACAAAGTAGGAAGCAGTGAAGGCTTAGAACAATGACTATTAAATAGTACTTCAATTCCAAAGTCTTAACAGAATTGCTTTTACTAGTTTTGACTACTAGGTACATATTAAAAGTAGCCAATAAAAAACAAGATCAGAAATTATTAAAATTGAATTAAATGTTCTAAAAAATGGAGTTAAATATATTTACCAAAATAAAGTGAATTTCTACTGTAGGAACCCTCTAACATCCAAACATGTCGTAATAAGACAAAAAATATTATAAACTTTGAGTGTTTTTGCGAAGCATATTGGCAAATATTAGAAATGTTTTTAATAGACTCCTAGCTTTACGAAACTAAATTTTCTCTGAAAAAAATTTTTTACACCATAAGTTAACTGTTTGAATTACTTTTTAAACATTTCTCTGTAGATGAGCAACTTTTTTGTACAAAGCCATTTCAGGAAAAATGAAAATGTTTATAGACCCCCATTTAAAAACTTCAAAATAAAAATACTTTATTGAGCCCCATGAAGGAAAAAAATCTATCAACTTAACAAATTAGATTACCTACCTTATAATTAGGAAAATCTCATTGAGAATATGGCATAGCTATTTAGCTGCTAAATTACTGCTTTCTGGATGTGTTTGAGAAGCAGCATCAGACAGGTGATTTTCTAAGATCCTATCCCAGGATCATAGGCTATATCATGAAGCTGGGTGTACCACATTTGGTCCCTAGATCCATATTACTTTATCTTGCAATAGAAAATAAATAAATCATTCTATTGATCCAAATCACTGCCAATGTTCCAGTTTTTAATTTATATTAAATTGCTATTTTCTAACAAAGAACCATCAACCACTTGGGTCTTTTAACTTCCATACCTAGAACTAGTAATTAGCTTTTTTACTTTTTAAATCAAGTTTCTATTTTTAAAGAGTATAGAATAAGAAAAGGGACTTAAGTAACAGATGTCGGGAAGTCAACCTGTGAGTTGGTTCTGCCCCTCTATGTTGACATGCAGTTATTCTGTTCTACAAAATTACAGTGGGGACCCCTGAGGTCAAAACTAGTTATATTAAATCCATGAATGGCATTAGTCTACTATATTATTTTCACACAGGCACTTCCTGTGCTAGAAATTAAACTATAAATGAAGATCATATAAAATATTCTAATGTTGATAAAATTTTTAATAAAATACCATATTCTTACTCACTAGAGGATTGTCATCAGTATTTCTCATCTCTTTGTTTATAATTGCAGTATTAAGGTACTGCCCTTAAAGCAAAGAGCAAGCCTCTTATAAGTTCCCAGATTAAAAGTTATTTTACCATACATTCAGAAATTAAAATATTGGCATTTTCTATTCCATTCAAAACATGTTTAAAAATCTGCCATTATTTTGTTAATGATTTTGAGTCTGAAACCATTTAATATTGTGTTTATTAATGTTGATGTTCTTTCACTTTGCTGTTAGACTGTGCATATACCAACTTCCAGCAGGAAGGGTGGGTAACGGTTTTAGTATGTACAAATTATTCCAACTACCATCTTCTTTTGCTATATTTCAGGCTTAAAAAATATTTTAAGATGGTAGGTTGGTATTTTATGTCTTAGATAAAATATTTAGATTCTTTCCTTTCCCCTTCAAGAAAGTTAATTGCATGAGGAAAGGAAGCTTTCAGATTTTTTAAAATATATTTTAGTAATGCTGCTTTTTTAGTTTTGCTTGCACATATTTTGTTTATTTTTGGGTCTGGCAATTTAAAAACAAAATTTAAAAAAATCATATCCATCCATTATTATCTTTGTGATTCCAGTGCTTGAAATTTCCAAGAGTATGTCTGTATAAGTCTTCTATCTGTTTGGCCTCATTTTGGTATACTTGCAGACTTCATTTTGTTTTCTTTCTCTTAATTCTGTTTATTTAATCTCATGGGAGAGAAAACATGACCATTCTTTTATATATTGTACTTCATTCCTTCATCTAATTCATACTCTTAACAGCTTTGGGTTCATATATTTGTTTTTGTTAGTGGAGTTGCTGCAGTTTACGTGCCATGGTGGTGCTCAAGTAAAAATAACATAGATGGAAACAAGTTATTTCTCCAGTAGGATTTCATTCCTTTTTTTCCTGCTTGTGTCAACTATGTAATCCTAAATCTTTAAGAACTATGTTGTAACTGTCATTTTACATTTTAAATTGTATAAATTACTAAGAAGTCAGGTAAACTTCATTTCTATAAATTTGAGTGTAAGTTGTCTTGTTGCTTTGAATATATCTTTACTGAGAAGAAAACTAAGATAAAAATTATATTTCAGTGTTGGCAAATTGATTTTCTAATGGCAAATTATGATTTATTCTTTAATAAAATGTTTCAGACTTCACTTTCATGGATGTCTGAAAATGAAATTGATTTTGTAGCAGTTAGGATGTTGACTACCTGGTAACATGAAGTTTGTTTTTTTTAAGCCCTAAGATTTTGTATATAAACATTAACAGCTCATATAAGCATCTACTTAGTAATCAACAGTCCTTGTATTTTTCCTTAACATTTTATATTCTGTAGAATCTGCTTTCTTAAAATGTTTCTTTAAAACTTAATTGACATACACATCACAATTTTAAAATTTTGTACCATTTAAATTCATGACATTCTACACAAAAGTATTGAACATGCTTGAGAAATAATTTGATTCTCTTAATCCATTTGCGTGTTCTGAGTAGTTATCATCCTTTGCATGTCTATGGCTTGCTGCTTATGTTTAAAAGAATTGTAATTTGTTGTACTTAGAAACTTCTTTTGGTTTTACATAATAAGAACTTGGCACAAATATACTATTTAAATCTACTGCTCTATTGATTTCATATATTCTCATTAGTAGCCAACTGTTGACACCATCTTTGGTCACAAAGAAATTACTTAATCTAATGAAACATAACAGACTGCATTTTTATTCTCATTTTCTCTGCTTAAGTTCAGTTTAGCTGTTCATGGTATAGGGTATTATGGAAAAGAAGGCTTCTTGACAATTATATTTAGTTTAATACTGAAAACAATTACTTTAACTATTTATAATATAAATCATAGTATCCAGTAAAACACACATATATTTACCCTTTCTCTTTTTCACAAAATCCTCTAATAATTTATATCTTTAAAAATATTTATATTTAAATATCTTAATCAATACTTTTCTATAGCCTAGTCATCATTTGTACCCTGTATAGAAATTTCAAAGTAACAATAGTGGCAAATTGGTTTGTTATTTAAAAAATTATAAAATTTATTCTACCTGGAAAAATGATACTAGTTCCAGGATATCTGTGATTTTGTAAAATAATTTTTGTGCCCATGGCAGACAACATACTTCCTGTTAAAAGGAAGAGAGCCTATAACATGGGAAAGCTATTTGAACTTAATTATTCTTTGATTCTCTTGAAATGATCAGCTTAAAGACCCTTTTCAATATGATTTATGCTACCCTAAGTAATATTCATATATATCTTTGTCTTTGGGGGCAATGGGAGAAAAGTAAGTTGTAACAAAAACTGCATTACTTCAGGTAGGTATAAATGTAGAGATCAATAAAATTTTTAATAATACATTAAAACAACTAATCCCTATTAAATTACAGAAATTGAAGACTCCGCTCTATTAAGTCTCTAATTGCGTATGGAGTGTTTCGTCCATATCACCCTTAGCATTGCCTGTGTGAACCACCTCTATTAATACTACTTTACTGATTTTTCTATTATTTCCAATTCTGACTTGATAATCCATGACTTTTATTTCATTGCTTAACAATGTTTGTATCCTTTATTCAGCAAATAGTTTACACTGGCCTATTTTGTATCAGTCAAGATTTTTCTCAGGTAACAGCTTTATTATTATTTTTTTAATTAACAAAAGAGGTAGGATTACATAAGAAAAATGAGCTAAAATTACAAAACAGGACTTTAAAACTAGTGTCTCTAATAACATGAACATTGCTTCTTATATAGGAGTGGGCTAAATTAGGTTTACAGTTGTAAGCAAAGTAGAGTTTATACTTATTATTAATTAATTATTGTACTATTTTTATTATTTTCCATACAAACAACTGTAAACCTACTGTTGCCAACCCCTGTATATATGTAATCTAATCAAAGTTGAAGATTTGTTTTTGTTACTTAATTGTCATCTTTTGTGCAAGACAATGTATGCCACAGAATTGAGATGTTTGTTGGCTTTATTATATAGCATGACTAAAAATTGATGAAATTGAATTGGTATATAAATTAATCCTTAAAAATACAAATACTGTTATTGTAGCTACTTGAGAAAAATGATGTGTTCATTTTTCTTTTATTTTTAAGCAGATTTTCTTTCAAAATTACTTCACAAAATTATAAATTTTCCTACTAAGATAAAAGCCAAATATTGTACAATAATGGTACTGAGAATTTTAAATTTTATTTATAAATTTTAAATTTTATATATGCTATCTTTTACATTTATGCTATTTAAATTTGTATTTTGTAAACTAAACATATGTTGTTGAATCCATTTGTTATGACAGAATATTTTTAATTGTTATATCTTTACTAATTCATCAAAGGTTGGAATGATCCTCTTGTTGCAGTTTCATTTTTTGGCAGACCTGTTCTCTTTGGATTGAGGCTTTACTTTAAAAGCCTGATTTTTTTTAAGTTTCCTAGAACTTTCTTTAAGTTTAGAATAGACTCCATAATTTAAAATATATATATCTATATACATATAGATGTATATATATATAATGTCTATATGTATATATGTATATATCTATTGTTTTAAGGCATTAGCCCTAAGTAAAAAAACTAAACTAGCATGATCTATTACTTTTCATTTTTATTTCACAGCATGTATTGATAATAAATGTCATTTTAAAAGCAAAACCCCCGAATATATCATGATTGTTATGAGATGTTTAATAAAGAACTAATGTAAAATATGCTTCATGCTTATATATCAGTTATATCAAGATATTAGGTAGAGATCTAGCTTTTAGTCATTTGAATATTATGTGTAATGTACAAGTGGTACAGTTTAATTTGTGTTTAAATCTTTACATTATCATTGCATGTATTCACTGTATTTTTTAATGTGTCAACTGTTTTCTCTTTATAGATTAGTATTTCAATGTAACCATCCCATATCAATTCAAACTTACCATCTGGTCTCTAGCTTGTTATATGAAAATCTTTTATTATTGTCCTCCATTCTTACTGTTTTTTGGTGAGCTGCACCTGAGTTGTACATCTTCTTTTTCTTTTATTTGCTTTTGTATACAGGCTGGCTTAGCGGGAGCTCCAGCCCGTGCTGTTTCAGCTGTAAAGAATATGAATCTTCCTGAGATCCCAAGAAATATTAACATTGGTGACATCAGTATAAAAGTGCCAAACCTGCCCTCTTTTAAATAAAAAAAATTTTAAAGGCCACTCCCAGGTAAAATCCAGGGGGGAAAGTCATCTAAGTTTACCATGCAGTTGTTTACCAAAAATAGAGGAGGAGAGTCTTACCTTTTGCTCTTGGATTTAAGTCAAGGTACTGTATAGAAGTTGTGTAAACTCAGTATGGCGGTTCAATGTTGTTTTTCTTGTTCAGTGATTTTAAAGAAATTGAGTAGTTTCAGTGTGATTTTTTTAAAAATTTCTTTTCTAAACTGCATTCCTATGCCCACTTAAGGCATGCTTCTATGTATTGGCAACAACAGTATTTCGAAAAGTGTTTGAAACATTTCTTTAAATTATGTACTACTCAAAATGTTGCTGGAGTTTTGTATGGATCACAAGTATAGCATTCCTTAATTCTTTCTGTTATTTGTCACAATTGTTATTTAAAGAATCAAGTATGTATTGCATGAAAACATTATGACCTTTTCCTCTTAGTTTAAATAAACTCCAAGGTAACTGGACTCTTAAAGCACCTTTCTGTTCGCCTGATATCTACGTTAGCAATAAATTTTTATGACCCTCTTACTCAACAAAGTAAATAAAAGTGTATTTTATCACTGTTAAGCAGCTGTTAATGACAATGTGTTAAATTTATACTCATGTCTTTAATACAGCCAGACCTCAGTTCTCGAGCATCTCCCATCTCGAACAATTTAATTCTTGACCAAGTTGTTCACGGAAAAAATGTCTTGGTTGTCAAACAAAACTTCAATTCTCAACTGGACAACCCTTTCATGCGGATACCTGTATAAATCAGTCACGTGTTTCTCAGGTGGCAAACAAAGGAGAGAATATGCAAGTCTGAGTCAGTTTACCACTAAACCTCACATTGTTAACATCTCAGGAAATTGTGCTGTGAATATTTTTTTTTCTTTTGTTGCTGCTTATTATTATTAAATATTACAGTAAGTCCCCATGGATCCTAGGAGGTTAGTGATAGCAGCAAAATGAAAAAGGAAAGTTGTGAGAACAACGATAGAGCTTAAAAAAAAATAATTGTCTAATCTGGCTACTGAAAATGGCATGGCAAAATTGACAATTAGCACAATTTTAAAATGTTAAGAGTATGAAAGTGCTCACAAAACAATGCAACTGAGAAAGGTTAAAATGGAATCATTTGGGGGTCTGGAATGAATGAATTCAATTTACATTATTTCTAATGGGGAGGGGGGCGATGATTCAGTTTTCAAACAAATCGCTTCTCGAATAGCCTTCCGGCATGAATTAAGTTCAAATACTGCAGTTCCAATGTATTCGGAAACTCACGGAATTATTCTAAAGCCCAATTATTTCACAATCAAAAGTAGTGTATCTCGTAACACATTGTCTAGGATGAGTTCTGGAATGGGACATGACATCTTTTTCTAAAAATTGTAGAATCCATTTTATACATAAAGGTTTAAACCTTGTGTCTGCTCTCTTCTTGCTCAGATATTGAAAAATAATTTTAGCAAATACTTAGTTTCTTTTGAACACAAAACCCTTTGGAACTCCTCTTGATCGGCCCATCCCAAAGTCAAAGCTATACTATTTTCCTAAGTCCTAACATTCGTATTCTGATTTCTCATAATTGGCCCACATTTTTTTTTCTTTCTTTTTTTAAAAATATATTTTATTGATATTTTACAGAGAGGAAGGGAGAGGGAGAGAGAGTTAGAAACATCGATGAGAGAGAAACATCGATTAGCCGCCTCCTGCACACCTCCTACTGGGGATGTGCCCGCAACCAAGGTACATGCCCTTGGCCAGAATCGAACCTGGGACCCTTGAGTCCGCAGGCTGGCGCTCTATCCACTGAGCCAAACCGGTTAGGGCATGGCCCACATTTTCTTATTTGGTCTTACCTTGTGAAGAGTGGGGGGGGGTTCCTCTTCCAATTAGACCAAGGTTTTCCTTACAGTTCTAGTCTTCCCTCCCCAAATGTTTTCTGAAACATTTCGTAGATTTGTGGGATGTAAGCAAAGTCACTTTATTTTTTTCTAAATAAAATTAATCTGTCTCTAAGCCTCTTCCTGTTGAGACAACAGGAAGTTCAGTCGGTGATTATTTCCATCAGTTCACAGATGTGTAAAAGTCTTAGAGGAAGGTTATACAAAGCAACATTCAGGGAGATCCCTGGTCTTCAGTTATTCGACAAATGTTTAAGTGCCTGCTGTGCCAGGTGAGTAAGTCCCCGTTCTCATGGAGCTATATACAGTACCACACACAGTGCCTGGCACCCTGGCAGTATTGCCTCCTTTCTCTTTTTTTTTTTCTTTTTTTTGAGGGGGATGGGGGGAAGCGGTGGGGATTATGGGAAGATTAAGTTTTGTTTGTTAAGGATGTGCCCATATTAGGGAAACCTCTGGGCAAGATCATACTTTAATCTAAAGAAACAATCAAAAGGGTTTTATTTCCACTATATTCTATGAAATACAATGCTCAAACAACCAATCAACATTCCTCCTCTTCCCCCTCCTTTTTCCTTTAGTAAATACTTACTGAGCATCAGCTATGTGCCAGGCTTGTTCTAGGTACTTGGATATAGCAGGGAACAAAATAGTTTATATTATAGCATAAATTTAAATGGCCACAAACAAACAAATATGTAATATGTCAGGTGATGATAAGTACTGTGGAGATAGATAAAGCTGGAGAAAAGGGTATAGGGAGTAGCTAGTTAGGGAGTGAGTTGGGTTGTTATTGTGATCCATAGAGTGGGTAGGGGAAGGCATCACTGATGAAGTAATATTTGAATAAAAACCTGGAAGTAGTAAGGAGGGAGTTGTGGAGATTTGTGGGGCAAGAGTAATCCAGACAGAGGAAATAGCATTGGCAAGGCCCAGATATGTAAGGGCATGCTTGAGATGTTTGAAAAACATCAAGGAACCATAGCAGAAAGGGCAAAAGGGAGAGTGAGTTATTTAATGGCCCTAATTATAAATCATTTACACTGTTTATTCATGAATGGTGCACGATAAGGGATATTATTTAAAAATATTTTTTTTATTTCAGAGAAGAAGGGAGAGGGAGAGAGAGATAGAAACATCAGTGATGAAAGAGAATCATTGATTGGCTGCCTCCTGCACGCCCCCCACAGAGGATAGCGCCTGCAACCCAGGCATGTGCCCTGACTGGGAATCAAACGTGATCTGCTGGTTCATAGGTCGACATTTAACCATTGAACCACGCCAGCCAGGCTATTAAATAACTTAAAACCTTTTAATATTTTGGGAATTAACAAGTCAGAAACTTCCAGTTAAACATTGATTATTAAACACATTTATGTTTGTGTTCTCTCAGACCACACTGAAGTGAATGATGGTAAAGAATTTTTAAATAATATAAACCCAAAAGGTAAAAAAAAATCAGACGATAACAGGTGTATAATTTTGGAAACTGGAAAACATAAATGAGAGGTATATAACTGAGGTAGCTGAAATTTAAGTTGGCAGTAGAATAACTGTGGAAGCATGTGGATTTGCACTGCAGAACCCTGAAGATTTTAGGAATTGGAGGTACAAGTGAAAACGGGAGAATTACCTAAAGGTCTATCTATCCCATTCACCATATTCCAAACCTTAGCAATTGCCTCAGCCTTTTCTCCCCTACAGGAGACCACAGGTACAAGCACAGCTGAGGACAGGGGAACTGAACTAGGAGCCAGGTGATTACCCTAAAGATACATTCTCATTGGTGCTTTGTCCCCACAGCACCCAGATGGTGGGCAGTCAGGCTTATACCCTATTCTCCGCAGGAAATCGTAGCCTCTTCTTCCACAGTAAAATTCACCCAAGAGAAAAGACCTACAATTAATGATGTTTTAAATTTTCTTACTGATATGGGCTATCCATATCATCCTTCACTAGAGCTCTTCTGTTGAAAAGCCTCTCCCATGCACACATAGCTTGCAGTCCGGTTTTTAGGGCCTCACATATGAGCATGCAGCACAGATCGTCAAACACTTGAGGAGAGCTGCTGATTTGAAAGATAGAGACCTACACAAAACATAATGAAACTAACAGTGAAGACCTTAAAAAACTAAAAGTAGTCATTACTAGTCCCACTGTATCAGACACCCTTTGTATATCACTTCAGAAACCTCAGTCCAGACATTGCTGCAGTAACTAACTCTTCATGGTCAACTACAACTGGACCTTGCCATGTTTTTGGCTCTAGCTACAACTGTCTGTTCCCTGCCCTGGACTTCTGTGCCACCCCAATTGGAATGTAGTAACCTTGACATTCCTATATGCACAATTTGGAATTGAGGGAAAATTAACTCCAATCTGAGACCCATGAATTGAATAAACATTTCTCCTTTTTGTACCTTAGAGTTCTGAGAATATTTCCAAAAGATTTCTCAGAAAGTCCTCTGGGATTGAGAGCCAGTTATCTGCATCCTCTTTTTACTTTTAAATTTTAAACTTTGTCTCCTCCATTTAGTGCCCATCTTCTACACTTTCCTGGGATTGCGTTCTCAAAATTGCCTGTGTATAAGCCTGCTTTCGAGGCTCTGCTTTTAGGGAACCCAGGCTAAGGTCAAGAATAGGAGCAAGAAAGGAACATTTGGGGAACAAGATGAAGCTCTTGGGCATATTTTTAAGTAGTATAACATGAAGGAATGGATGAGAAAGTTGAGAGGATTCCCAGAAAGTAGGGGAAAAAAAGACAAATAGATGGATAAGAAAAGGTAAAATTAGAGGATCACTCTCTGTCCAGTAGGTAATTCACCCTCTGACTAGTTCCAGAAGAGGAAGAAAAAGAAAATGTAGGGGAGACAATTATAAAAAATTTTTTTGAAGATTATGTAGATCATAAGAATATGAGTTCCCAGATTGAAGCCCCCATTGGATATTTAGCAAGTTCAGTAGTGGATGTCTTCTTCTTAAGGCCAGGACTTATGGTAGGAAATGGTGTTATAGATCTGGGTGCCCTAATAACAATGGGGATGATGAGATCCTGAAATAATAGGTACCAGCTTGTGGCACTTAACTAGCAGGAGCAAAATGGGTAAATAATGAACTAACTGCAAGGTCAGGGTGGCAGCCTCAGTTCCTGATCTGCAGAAAGCTATAGAGATGGTTAATGGAACCCTAGGCACCAGATAAATGGCCAACCAGTAAAGGCATTGCCCAATCTTATAATCAGAAATAAAATTTTAAAAAAATGGATGATCAGGAGGCTGAGAGCAGCCATCACAATAAAATGTTATGAACTCTTGTTCAGTTTCTGTTCCTGAGCCAGTTCTCAGACCCAGAACTCATTGATTGACAGAAAGAGGAAGGACCCTGCACACCACAGCAAGTGCATGTTAATTATTTTCCCACTGCTCTAAGGAGACTTGGGTAACCATACACTGGGAAATAGAAAATACCCAATATTTTGAGGATTATTAGGCATAGTTTCCAAGTTGACGTTGATAACTGGAGACCAAACATTATGCCCATTTGTCCCTATTAGAGTGCCTATAGGAGTGCCAAGAAGGTTACTATAACATTCCAACTGGGGTGGCAGAGAAGTCCAGGGCAGGGAGCAGGAAGTTGTAGCTAGAGCCAAAAACATGGCAAGGTCCAGTTTGTATTCGAGTGGGAGCATAAGGGGGCTGAATAATAAACTCAGTCTTAGCCCACATCTAGCTCAGCGAGCCCACTGGGTCCACAGGTCCACCTAGAGGTAATTTTCCTCATCACTCAATATATCTGTTAGTGTTTTGGGGAAATTCTATAGTAGTTCCTTTGCCTATGAGATAAGAACTATTGTAGAAAGGAAGATTAAGTGGAAGCTTAGAAATTGTCCCCATACTGTCAGCCACAATAATAAGTATATAGCAATATGCATCCTGGGGAGGAGAAAAATATTAGTGCCACACTTAAACACCTAAAAGATGCTAGAATGGTGGTCTCCATTACATCCCCATTTAATTGGCCAGTCTGTTCCCTAGAGTTGGATCCTGGAGGATGACAGTGGACTGCCCCAAAGTTGTAACTCCACTTGTATCTGCTGTGCCTGATATGGTATCTTTGAGCAGATCAACAAGGTAGACTCAGGCAGTAGCTAATGGCTTGGTTGTTAACCAAAGACTTAGAAGAAGAAAGATTAGAAGATCAGGAACAGGAAAGTTTAGGGAAGAGGCATGTGGGTAGATCTATATGAATGAACATGAAAATATGAAGGTTTTTGAATCAATTGGATGTTACTCATCAGCAAAGACACCACCAAGTAGAATGATTCAGCAAAGTGTTAATGTGGCTGTTATTGGCCACTGCAGTGTTAGGCACAATGGGAATTTGAATGAAGTAGCTAGGAATGGAGGATACCCATGGTCCAACAGCATGGGCCTTCTACTCATCAAGGCTGATTTAGCTACTGCTTGTGTCAAATACAGGGTGGGGCAAAAGTAGGTTTACAGTTGTTTGTATGGGTAAATTATCTTAATGAACTAACTGCAATGTCAGGGTGGCAGCCTCAGTTCCACAATTAATAAATAATGATACAAGAATAAACAGTTTTGTGTACTTACAACTGTAAACCTACTTTTGCTCCACCTTGTATTTTATCTACCAATAACAGAGATCAGTGGTGAGCCCCTGATACAGTACCTTCCCTTGAGAAAACCAAGCAGCCACTTGGAGGCAAGTAAGTTTGGACCCCTTCCATCTTAGAAAAGGGTAATGAATTAATCCTTACTGGAATTGATACAATTTGGGTATGAGCTTTTTTTTTCCTGGTTGCATAGCCATAGCCAACATCACTATTCAAGCACCTACCTGGGATCCTACATAGCATCACAAAGGGCTTCATAGCAAAAGGGGTGCAGCAGTGAATTCAGAACAGAGAGATCAACTGATCTTGTCATTTGCTGCCCAACTCGGAAGCTGCTAGACTGATAGAGCAATATAAGATCTTTTAAAAAGGCACACATGATGATAGATACCCTGTGAAGATGGGGAACATTCTCCAGGATGTAACATACCAACCCTTATATAGCGCTCTGTTTCCAACAGGTGAACACTAAGCGGTAGAGTAGGAGTACTCCGCTTACATCACTCCCAGTGACGCATGTAGGGGAGTTTGTGCTTCCTGTCCTCACAACTCTAGGTGTAGAGGACTTGGTTCCCAGAAATGAAATGCTTCCTTCAGGGGCACACCATGAATTATCTTAACCTTTAATGAACAGCT